TCAGAAAAATTTGAATGTAGTCTACTACTGGCATGGTAGCATGGTTGCTGTTGAGGGCTTTTGGCCAGAAAGAAGGCTCTACTGGAGCTGTGGACTGCAAGAATGAAACACAGAACATGCTTGTTGAGAAGAAAGAGAACAATGAAAACAAATGACCTAAGGTCTTTCATCAGAGAGGAAGAGTATATTTGAAATGCAGGAGATCCCTTAGTGCATTTAGTGCCATAATGCCCTATTGTTAAAAGCTAATGGGAAGCAAGGAGTGTGATTATAACAGCTCTTTTAAATAATGTAGTTTTTAGATACATGTTTGCAATCAGGTTATTTAGTCAAAGTATTGCGGCTTCAACCTTGAATTTTGAATATTTGTTTTTCGTGTTGAAATGAGAATTGTATATATGTAACTGTTCTATTAATTTAACAGTTATAGTTCAAGGTATCTGTACAGTTGTACAATCTGTACAGTTCAAAAGAGGTCAATTTTTAACAAATCTGCCAAGGGAGACTATGTCTTAGGGAAATGTGTCTAGTTATCAAGTTGACCAGTGGTCACTTAACTAATGGTCAACTTGGAACACCTAGCTGAATTTCATCAATGTGGTTCTGGATGTAAAAGGCCCAGCTGAGAACTGCTGCCAAGAGCACCAAAGGAGAACTAGAAGGGAAAATCATGCACTGTTGATTCTCGTGGAGAGGCTTGTTATGCTGGTTTTCCTAATATGAACTCAGCTATTCTCACCATCAAGAGCTCAGGTCCTCACTGCAGTTGAGGATCACTGTGGTTCTTCTGGGAGAAGCTCTGGTCACTACCTGGAGCACTGGTTCCTGGATCCAGTGCCTGCTAGCACAGACCTTCAATTCTCTGGTGCAGATTATCTAGGTTCCACCACTGACTTTTAAGCTTTCCAGTACAGATCCATGATACAGACTTGCGTGATACTGTTGTGGACTTTAGTCCTCCAGGTGGACATCTAGAGGACATTGCCATGGGCTCTAGGTTTTCAGCTAGACTTGTGCAGGAAACTGCCATGTGATTCAGGCCCTCACCTGGATTCTTTGGATGTCTACTCCATGGAAGTTCTGCACTCTCCTGTATTTGACATTTTGGGTAAATATTTTAAAATTATCCTATAAATTCTGTGTTCTATATTAAACCTATTCCCTTGTAAGCCCTAACTACAACAGTACTCAACACTAGTACTAGGGTGTAGAGCATTTGACTAGCATGTATAAGGCCATGGGTTCAATCCCCAGAAGTGCACAGAAAAAGCACAGTAGGAGTAGAATGAAAATGCTGATATAATCTGTGAATGATTTGCAATTTGATAGTGGGATATCATTCAAGTCTTTACTTTTTTTTTTAATGTATTTAGTACAGGATCTACAGTATTTCACAACACAGATCAGACTTACAGTAATCCTCTTGTTTTCAGCCTCCCAAGTGCTGGAATTACGCCCAGTCTCAATCCCTGTCTCAGTGTGCCATGGAGGGGAGGGGGGGGGGAGCGGCATGGTACACTGGGGATCAAACCCCAGTCCCTGCATCTGCCTAAGTAAGCACTTTAGTCCACAACTCTATACATTTTAAAAGTACGCAGTACAATTTAGTTTTTATCCTAAACCTTTACCAAAATTTGTGTGCCAGGTTCTCCTGGAACACCCAAGAGCTATGTGAAACAGCTTCCTCTTGCTTTTAGTGTTCATGTAACTCAGATTTATGATATGATCACATTAACTCTTTTAGTGTTCTGCCTGATTTCCTATTTCATCAATCCTACTGTGTACATCTTTTGTTATATAAAAAACGTTTTATAATCTAAAAAAAAAAAACAGGCGGCAACCTAGTGCAGCGGTTCCTGTGCCGGGCTCTATAGCGCGAGGTCGCCAGTTCGTGCCCCCATCCTGACTCTTTGGGCTGGTGAGATGGCTCAGTGGTCTAAAGCACCTACTTAGAACAAGCTTAGCAAAGCACAGAGACCACAATTCAATCCCCCAGCACCACATGCCAGCCCGTCCCGCCCCCTGGTGGGCTGAGCTGGCCACACACACATACACACACACACACACAAATAAATAATTAAAAAAATTATCTTCATGCAAGACTCTCCTTGAATTTGGTACCACTAAGGAGCTAAGAGCCTCATTTTGATGAATTTTAGATTTTTGAAAATTTTGATGATTTTTTTTTGGGGGGGGGCAGAACCAGGGATTGAACTCAGGCCCTTCTGCTTGCCAGGCAAGCGCTTATTCTACTGAGTCATCTCCCTGGTCCCTTGATGAATTTTAATACAGTAACTAGTAAATTTATCCTTTCACAACAAAAAATTACAATAATAAAATATATTGCCATAAGATTTATGCTCAAAGATAACCAACACCACTTCTAAAACTATGAGAATGTTTGTTTTTTAATAATTTTAATTTTGACAGAGGGAATTAGCCATCACCTCATTTTACATATAGGGTAACTGATATAACCGGCAATAAACTGGTTTGGTCCATGTCTCTGAAAAACTTAGTACTGAAAAATGTCCAGCTACTAACTTCTGATAATTTCTTCTAAACTTCAATTTTTCTCAAATTAATACGTTCACACAATTTAAATTTCATCTAAGTAGCATTTTAGAATACCATTCTTGAAAAGACAGAAACTAAAACTGTTAGATTTTTCTTATTGTAATGCTTGACTCAAGAGATGAATATCCAACTACAATTTTCCAGTATATGTTACTTCCTACTTAAACTTCTAGATAGCCATATACCAATTCTATTTGTTTTCTTGGTTTGGCTTGTGTGCATATGTGTGTGCTGGGGATTGCACTGTCACTTGTTTTTTATGTCACAAAATAGTATACTACATTTACAAAATGTAAATGGGGGAGGGGCTTTGGAGCTAGCTCAATGGAATAAGTGCTAGCCTGGCAAGCAGGATCCTGAGTTCAATCCCCAGTACCGCCAAAAAAAAAAAAAAAAAAAAGTAAATGGGGATGAAACACTATAGAATTGGAGACAGTGTAATACAATAGTTAAGGACAGTGTTCAGCAATGAACCAGTCACAAGGTGGGGCAAATTCCATTTGCAGGAACTTACCTTACATACAGCAATAATAACCATACTAAATAAAAGGTTTGGCAAAATTTCTTTTCCTAACAGATCTACTGTTAGTTTTAATTCTCTTTCACTATTAAGAGGTTAGAAATTTGATGAACTTAAAGTTTTTCTAAAAAACTAAAATTTTAAGGTTTAATTTTTTTCTCATGGGATAAAACTAATAATAGCTCTCTAAGTTTTAATAACAAATACAAAGACTTCTGACACTAAGGGAAGGTAAAAGATGACTTCTCTCCAAAACACTTTATTTAGATGTCTACTGGAGAATTAAAGATATGTCACAGAAAGCAAACCTCAACAACTCTACATAAGAACTAATAAAAATCAATGTAAAGACTGCCTAATAAATATAATTTGATTTTAACTCTTGTATTCAGCTAGTTTCTTGACCAACTGAAAAGACAAGTTTAAGACATTTAATCACCGTCATAAACATAACCTATGTTAATCCCAAACTTGTGGTTGATTTTAAACTTAGGTACTGAGTTAAAACATAAATCTCAAAACTAAATTTCAGATAGGACAGCAATGAATGAAGAAAAATACAGGGGGCATATGAGAAAGGAAAAATTCTATAGTTTTAAGTCTTCCTTTTCCTAAGCTATTTCTACTTCTTTTCAATTCATTCCCCTTTTGCCATTTTTGTTGTTTTTGTTAAAATGTTAAATACAATTTTTATCCATCCATTTAGAGGGTAAATGGAATGAATTTTAGCATGCTCACACAACACAATCACCATAACTAATTCCAAACCATGCACACAGATCACAAGAGAAATCTTGTATGTATCAGCTTGCCTCTGTAGATTTGCTTATTCTGGACATTTCATATAAGTGAAGTCACACATGTCCTTTGTGACTTGCATTATTCATTTAATATAATGTTTTCAAAGTTCATCAATGCTGCAACAATTAGTATACTTCATTTCCTTTCACAACAGTAGTCTATTGTACCAGTGTACCACATTTAATCTATCCATTCATCTGTTAGTGGTCACTTGGGTTGTTCATTTTTTAATTATTATGAATAATGCTATGAACATTCATACATACATATGGAGGCCTCTTTCCATTTTTCTAAGGTATATACCTATGGGTAAAATTGCTGTTTGGTAACTTTCATCACTTAAGGAAACTGCCAGAGTTGTCCAAAGCAGCAGCACCACCTACAATCCTACCAGTACCACATAAACGGTTCCAGTTTCTCCATATCCTCAGCAACATTTTTTATCTTTTTGATTTTAGCCACTCTACAAGGCATGAAATGGTATCTCCTCCACATTTCAGATCAAAATAGTCTTTACTCTTCCACTCATTATCTAGTACACACTATGGCATCTCTTCAGAGGAAAGTCAGCATAACCATATACTTCAATACATGACTTGTTTTGAAATTTATAGCAAATTTCTGGAACCCTATATATATTCTGTAAAGGAAACATACCTTTCTATTTAATAAAGGAAAATTATACCTTGAATATAAATAAAAACAAAGCATTGAAATTAAAACCAAAACATATCATGCCCTCAAAAATATTAATAAATGCTTTAAAAAGCAGTTATTTTCAGGGTTCCTTCATTTTTAACACACTTTTCTCAATCTTTTAATGACTATGTTGCATGCTTCACTACTGAGCTCTTGCAAAGATTAAAAAGTTATTCAGCAATGAAAAGCAGTCAAATTCTAACCTCAAAAACTAAGATTCTGGCAAGAAAAATTGATATAAAATTAGGCCCTGAGATAGGAATAAACCTGAAGGTTGCAACGTCCTCTAATCTTTACTCAAAATGTTATGACCAAGCCAGTGATCACAAAATAATTTTAACATTTGTGGCCAGAACCACTGCATCGCACATTTGTGTAAGCCATCAACAGAAAATTCACTAACCTGGCGTTTTCTTCTTCTGGCCTTTCAACTTCATTTTCATCTAGCAAATAAAATAAGATAAATAAATCAAGCATCTCAAGAAAGCAGTACTATGAAAATCTAAAGTGATCATCAGAAGCACTAACCTAGGTCCTTTGCCAAATCACTGTGCACATGCACGTTCCATGGGCCTATAAGCATATCCAAAGTTAGATCACTTTGTAATTCCTTAACAAGACATGTCTTTTACAAGAGTGAAAAAAAAAGGCTTTACTGCTATAAAAATAAATCTACAAGGTACCGGAGATTTCCAGATCTTTGTAAAAGAAATCTGGCAAATACACATTTCAAGAGTATTACTAATGCACCTGATAGTGAATTTTTACAAGCTTATCAAATTTGCATAATCAAGCTGCAGGACTCCCAACGTGCTTTTTTACTATACTATTTTAAATGAATCAAGAATGTATGTTCTAGGCATGAAACAAACACATCCAAATCTGCTGCCACACAGGGATTACCATTTAATGAAAGTTAAAGGCCTGATGTCAAGTCTCCTTCAAGAGGTAACTACAAGATGCATTAGAGAAAAATAAATACATGAGATGACACTGAAAACTATGCCTAAGGGTCCTCACATGATGTGAGTTAAAGAGCAGTCTCTTAAAAAGAAAAACTCCTTAATACAGGAAGCATTCAGGGTGTTCTTCGTGGGCCATAATGTATCCCATCTCTTTCTGTCTTTTAACTATTTTTAAAGCACGACTTTCAGACAAAGAGGTACCCTTGTAGGTGCATTCCACACAAACTGACCATCAAGAAACATGACGTTAGTTTTACAGCATTCACTGTATTTATTTTTACACAATTAAGTATTTCTGGGGAGAAATTAGTCAAAGAGAGTAACCTACGGCCTCTGGGCTTAAGATAAAACACCGAACACACCTCAGAACGGACAGAAAAAGCAGACAGAAGGAGCATGGAGGTGAGGACACCACGAGGCCCGGCAGAAGCCAGCCTGGCGCCCGAGTGCCCGGCCCGGCCAGGCCGAGGGTGCGGGGCGGAGGGTGCGGGGCGGGGGACGCGGCCGCGTAGGGACGCGCACGCCGCGCCGGGCCTAAGGCAGGGTCCCACCAGAGGCCCACGGCGCGGGCGCGGAAGACCCGGGGCACGGCCGTCTGCGGGCCGGGAGGGGAGGCCTGACAGAACCCGGAGAAACAGGCACAGGAAGTTCCGTACCGCCATAAAGCCACTCTTCCTCCTCATCCCCTCCGGTCCCGCCGCTCAGCTCCGACACTAGGCGCTCGACCTCGCCGGCAGACATGGCCGCCCCACGCACAATTTAAAGGCCGAAACCAACAGCCCTTTCCGGTTTCTTCCCCGGGCACGGTGGCCCGGGGCGCGAGAGGGGCACGAGCTCGCGGGTGAGCAATAGAAGAAAGCGCGAGACTCAAACCCAAGGAAAGCCGCCGTGGAATAGGCAAAGATGAAGACTCCTGTACGCGACAGTCTGCGCACGCGCAGCAGCAATCGCGCAGCGCGGCGTAGAGTCTCCTAGGTGGCTTCGCTTCCGCCCCCTGCGGCGCTTGCGCATGCGCAGCACAGTTGGCCCCGCCCCTAGGAAGAGGGCCTGTAGTGTATCTAGGTTTTCTCGCCGGCGTCCCGTGTTTGTTCCCCTCCCCCAGTTTTCCCTCTAAGAACCCTTATGGGCTTCGCTACAGCATTGTTCCCCCGCGTCCTTGATGCTACTTCTCCGTTTGGACTTCTTTACAGATCTTCCTAAAGGCCTTCTTTTACTCTTCACGGGTATACTTGTTACAGCTCATTACTTGTTTCTCTTTAAATGGAGAGGAATGATAACCTGTGCTGCATTTCTCTAAAAATTAATTTTAAAAGCCAACAAAAGCAAAAGTAAAATGAGAGTATTGAAAACGTACACAGTCCAGATTAAGGACAGCTGCATCCATTATCTCTTCTCTAGAGACATCCGTCATCCTCTTGGAGTACATATTTCCTAAATTTTCTTTGTGTCTACTGCACCTGTCATATTTTGATGGGAGAACCCGAGGTTAAAGAGTCTTGACAGGTCCAGTCCTCCTTGTATAATCTTGAAGATTTCATATCTTTTAAATTAATTCACCGGTGGAGATTTATCAATTTTAGTATATCACTCCCTGTTCATTTTTTTAGTGCTTCAAAAATTCTGCAGCTAACCTGTTACAAAGTGAATGACTATTTCCCTCTTGACATACATGTAGATTGTTTCAACTTTTCACTTTTGTCAAACGTTTAATGTGCCTTGTGATTTGCAGATTTGTTCAGATGTTTCTCCAAACTATATAATAACATATGTGTAGCTTTAATTTTAATAGCTAATCTCAAATTTTCAGACCACATCTTCCAGCCTCTCTTGCTATGCTCCAGTTTGCTCAACTACCAGTTGAGTTAGGTTCTTCTTAAAATCCTTTCAGTTCTAAAGTTTTCAAATGGGATTTAGTTTTCCATAGAAAAGGGGAATCCATTTTAGCTGTACAAATCAGTGAAGTTTTTTGTGCTCCCCGATGAAAAAATAATGATCTTCTATCTGTTTAATATTTATTGAATATCTGCTTTGTCTTAAGAATTTGGAAAATACAGACACAAAGCACAGTTTCTGGGGCTGGAGAGATGGCTCAGTGGTCTAAAGCACCTACTTGAAACAAGCTTGTCAGAGCACAGGGACCGCGGTTCGATCCCCCAGCACCACATGCCAGCCAGCCCCGCCCCCTGGTGGGCTGAGCTGGCCACACACACACAATAAATAAATGTAATAAATAAGTAATTTTTTTTTAAAAAAAGCACAGTTTCTGTCTTTAAAGAGTTCTCAATTTGTTGAGAAAGAAAAATGGACAGTAAACAACTCTCCTGCAAGGAAAATGGAGATGTGCTATGACTAAAGCACAAAGTGTTATACACTACCAAACCACACTAAGTGATTTAAACCATATGGCATTAATTCTTACTTTTGAACACATCTTTTCCTACCATTTCCAGCCCCCTTTTAGTGAGACCCTATAGACCCTGTACTAAATACATAAAAAAGAATAAGCCTTTGCATTTTTCTAAATCCTCTTAAGCGTTTAGAAAAATGTAGAGATATTTTCACTTCCTGGTTGGGATTATTGTAAGTACATTTATAAAAATACATCTTCTACTTCAAGCATATGTCAAACTATAATACTACATACATTTTCATTATGTTTTTTCATTTTTATCCATTTTTGTGGTCTGTCTTTATTAAAATAATAATTGCCTCTTTTAATTTATTTATCTCTATGTAGTACAAAAAGGATTGTTTAGTTAAAATGATTAAATGATTATTAAAATAATAAGATTTTAACTTTTGTAAAATCTTTCCTAAATCCCATTTCTTCTTTTCCCATTTATTCATTAATTCAGTAAATATGGAAATTCTACCAAATGTCAGGAATTCTTCAAGAACACATAGATTCAATAATGAGGGTTTTTTTAAAAGTCCATTTGTGAAGCTTTCTGTCTAATGAGGGAGTGAAACAGCAAACACAAATAAGGAACGTATTATATTGACAAGGATTATGAAGAAAGATAAGCTGTGAGGGGGCCAAGAAGAAAGTGATGAAGAGGGAAGGATTCAATTTTATATCCACTGATCAGAAAAAGTCACTCTAAGAAAATGATCTAAGCACAGAGACATGAATGGAGAGAAGATATATCAGACACAGGGATTAGCAGGTGAAAAGGCCCAGAAGCAGAAATGCTTAATATGTTCAAGGGAACCAAATGTTGTTGGAACAGAAGGAGGGACAACAGAATTTTGATATAGTGGATAGTATAGGTGAGTGGTGAGTGGGATACAGCTCCTTCTTTTGCATTTATGACATATATATCACACTGTAGAGTGATTATCTGCCTATATATCTTACATTCTTCACTAGATCAAATAGTAAAATAGAGCATCCTGTTTATCTGTCCTTTCTTTTCCTTATTTTTTTTTTTTTCTCTTTGTTAAAGGAAATGGAACAAAGGTTTTACTTACTGTTTTGGACTATCGTAAAGCAATCTTTCATGGTCTCATCTGTTTATCTCTCTATTTATTGTTTCAATAATCTATAATAACCTTTGGCAGTTTTGTGGACGAGCCTTTTGTTGAGGGGCTTCTTTCTGCTTCATGCCACCATCAAGGAACTTGCCTTTTTATGTATTGTTTAAACAGGACTGAAGAACCATTGAAAAATAATTAGTGCATCAGAGTCATTTTTATCATCGAGGTAGCATTTGAGTTAAGCTTTGAAAATAACACTTTCTATAAATAGAGAAGCCCATAAGTTGCTAATAAATACTGTTAAGAGCTTCTTTGTTCCTTGTTCCCAAACCAGTTCCCTGCCTGAATGTGCTTCCTTAGTTAATGCTGTCTTTATCCCCCCGTGTATCAGAGGAAATTTCAAGGAGAGGTAGATTGAAGATGCTATATACATCTTCTACTTCAAGCATTATGACTGTATAAAACTATAATACTACATACATTTTGATTATATGTTTTTATTTTTATTCATTTTTGTGCTCTATTTGTCTTTAGTAAAATAATAATTAACTTTTAATTTATCTATCCCTATGTAGTACAGAAAGAAGTGCTCAGTTAAAATGATTAAATGATCATTAAAATAAAAAGAATTGATCATATCAGAAAGTGTTTCTGAGTTTCCAGTATACAAGTAAGTACTCATAGATGTGTTTTGCATAGATATGGCATTAGTACCAAGTGAGGTATTTTCTGTCAACTTTAGATAATATTACTTAAATATCAGCATTCTTTAGTTACCACATTAGTAAATTGATATATTAAGTTAATGGCTTATTGCAAAACCTTAGACAAGATTAAGCTAAAATGACATTTGAAATACAAGTATTTAGCAAGTTAGAGGCCAAAAAGTATTGTGTTTGGGGTAGGCCTTTTCTCCCCTGAACAACAAGCATAGGAATCAGAATTACCTTGCATAGGAATCAAGAGTCATCCTCCTTTTCTTTTTGACAGTAAATTTTATATTACTAGTTATTTCATATATATATATATATCTACTATTATGTAAATTTTGCATTCCCTTTTATAGCTAAGAACTTTGAAAGTGCTCAGTGAGTACTTAATCTCAGTACTGATCATGATTACAAAGTACCTCAAAATAAAATGAAGCAGAACATGCTTTTTTACAAAATGCAGAATGGGAAATAATCCCTATTTTCTTTACAAAAGTATCAATCCCATTTTAATAAGGTAGGTTTGATCATCTTAAGCAGATCATCCTAGAAGAAATTCACTTTTCTGTGGAATAAGATCTGAAGGGACCTTTTCTTGGATTCTGTTTTAATTTCTGTCTAGCCTGTGTCCAAAGATATTGCATCAATTTTCATTACTTTAACACCACTTGTGTAATTGGGTTCCAATGACAACAAAGTTTCTAGCTGAAGTCTTCTCGTTGAGTTGCAGTTAAGACAGTGCAACACTCTCATGATTCACCAGATGATTCTCTTAGATACTTAGCAGGTATTATGTCCAAAACAAAAATTGTGAAATCGCCTCGCAAGTCTATATTTCTCCACTCCTGTGCACCCAGGCTTCACATTTTGGCATTGGTACCAACCATCTGACAATTTCAACCTAACAAATAATCATCCTTCTGTCTTGTTTTTCTTTCATCTGTTCCTGTGACAGCTGTATAAATCTATCAGCAAAGCCTATTAGTTTTCTCTGTAAGAAATACATTCCACTCTTTCTGTCAGCTGGCCGAGATGCCGAAAGGGAAGAAGGCCAAGGGCAAGAAGGTGGCCCCGGCCCCTGCTGTCGTGAAGAAGCAGGAGGCCAAGAAGGTGGTAAATCCCCTGTTCGAGAAGAGGCCAAAGAATTTTGGCATTGGACAGGACATCCAGCCCAAGAGAGACCTCACCCGCTTTGTCAAATGGCCCCGCTACATCCGCCTGCAGCGACAGAGGGCCATCCTGTACAAACAGCTGAAGGTGCCCCCTGCGATTAACCAGTTCACCCAGGCCTTGGACTGCCAAACAGCTACCCAGCTGCTTAAGCTCACCCACAAGTACAGACCAGAGAACAAGCAAGAGAAGAAGCAGAGGCTGTTGGCCCGGGCAGAGAAGAAAGCTGCTGGCAAAGGGGATGTCCCCACTAAGAGGCCACCGGTCCTCAGAGCAGGTGTCAACACCGTCACCACTCTGGTAGAGAACAAGAAGGCTCAGCTCGTGGTGATTGCACATGACGTGGACCCCATCGAGCTGGTCGTGTTCCTGCCTGCCCTGTGTCACAAGATGGGGGTCCCTTACTGCATCATCAAGGGGAAGGCCAGGCTGGGGCATCTGGTCCACAGGAAGACCTGTACCACTGTCGCCTTCACACAAGTCAACTCGGAGGACAAGGGCGCTCTGGCTAAGCTGGTGGAGGCCATCAGGACTAACTACAATGACAGATACGATGAGATCCGCCGTCACTGGGGAGGCAACGTTCTGGGTCCAAAATCTGTAGCTCGTATTGCCAAGCTGGAGAAAGCGAAGGCTAAAGAGCTTGCCACTAAACTGGGCTAAGCGTACTTTGAGTTTTCTGTACATAAAAACAATAAATTGTCCTTAATCCAGTGGAAAAAAAAAAAAAGAAATACATTCCAATTCTGTCTATACTTCTCTGCTCTTCCAAACTTCCTGCTTACAAACTCTTTCATGTAGTTGGTTAAATTGCATGTGGTTTTATAGTTGTGGTGCACAACTTTTAGAAGTTTTTTATACTACCACTCTATTGGCCACTTTTTGCCAACTCTTTAGTGTCATTCCCTCACATCTTTGTTACAGACTATGTGACGACTCTCCCCAACAATTCCTGTGTTGAAACTCTGATCCCCCATATGATAGTTTGAAGCTACAGAATTAATTTAGCCTTCACTAATGGGAAAGGATTTTTGTCCTCATAAGAAGAGACAGGTAAGCTTTCTTACTTTCTTTTTTGCTCTCTGCAAAGGGAGGATACAGCCCAAAGATAGCCACCATTTATAAACTAGCAAGACATCCTTTATCAAAGCTATTCCATCATAGTACCTTGATCTTGGATTTTGTAGCTCTTATGGTTGTCATCTAAAATGTCCCCAAGAAGGCTAATAGTGTTGATGCCTTAATGGCCAGTTGTTGAGCTTTTGAAGTGATTGGTTCACAAAGGCTCTAATTTCGTTAGTGGATCAATCTATTGATGGGATCATAACTTGATGGCATTATTGGGAGTGACAGAAAAAGGAGGTGGGGATTAGCTGAAGGAGTGGATCATGAGGGTGTGATGTTGGGGCCTATATGTTTGGCCACTTTCTCTCTTTTTCTTTCCTCTCTTTTTTGGCTTCCAAGAGGTAAGCAGGTATTTCCCCAACATACCCTTCTAATCTGCTGTTTCTGCCTGCCACATATCTAAAGTACCGGCATGAGCTAAACAAGGACTGAAATCTCTAAAGTTGTGAACCGAAATAAATTTTTCCTCCCTTAAATTGATTTTATCAGGTATTTTGTCACAGCAACAGAAAGTTGACTAACACTGTAGGTGTAAGAACTATGAGAAATAAAATTTGTGCTGTTTAAACTACCTACCATATAGTATTCTTTCTTATAACAATCTGCATTATTACAATCTCTGTACTTTCTCTTTTGCAATTCTTGAAGGCCTGACTACCTTTGTTTCATTTTATGTACACACCCAACAGTCTCAATATTTTAGCAGAAAGAGACTGTGGAAGCTAAGTGGAGCACAGGCTTAATGTATATAAGACCCTGTTTTCAATTATTGGAAAAGAAAAAGAAAGACAAAGCAAAATGATGTATTTTAAAGTGAAATCTAATCTTTTTCCAAGGACAGCATTTCTTATCTTTATATACTGCAGAGCCATCATTATCTTTTACTTTCTACCATGGGGCCTGAAGATAGTATTATGATTTCCTTTGTGCTACTGGGCCACTACTAGATGAATATAGTTTTTTTTGTTGTTTGCTTTTTTTAGGAAAGGGTACACAGGTTCTCACCACGAGACAGGACTCATAGTGATCTGCCTGTTTACAGCCTCCCAAGAGCTGGGATTACAGGTGCACACCACCAGGCCCAGTCTCTATTGCCATCTCAGGGTGCTCTAGGGGCGGGGCCAGCATGGCAAGCCCAGGGATTGAACCCCTGGCCCCTGGGCCTACTTGCAGGTGCTTTAATCTGCCTAGCTATTTGGCCAACCTGAATATAGTTTTAGTTTTCTGTGAAAATCCTCTTTTGCCCAAGCTCATAGCATCCATATTAACATTTAGTCTTCCTTCTTCATTTCTTTCATTCACATATCCCACAGAGGTACAGTCCACAATCCTCCTTTTCTCTAATATTGGTCACTATAACAAACTTTCACGTGTCCTCCTTCTTTATCTCATGTTTTTTGACTTTCTGAAGTCTAATTAGACAACACTCTTCATCATTCACTCCATCTCAGCATTTACATTTGGGATTATGCCCATATCATATTAAATCCAAGCACTGTGCTCTCTGATTTGTAGTTCTAGAGAACATGTTCTACAATTTAATGCCTTTACTTAGGCTGTATTCTTTCCCTGGCTTCCAGGAATATTCTTCCCCATTCTGTGCACCTGGCAAATGCCAGAGCTTCTTTGAGGGCAATTCAAAACAATTGTTCTGTACTTTGTGAAACTACTTCTGACTACTTCCCCTTTTCTCTGGCAGGTGTTTTTTCCCTTTATAACTATTCTATATTTTTTGGAAATTGTTGCCTCTGTGACTTTTTTCATTTGTTTGTCTCACATGTATCAATCTTTTTATTCTATTTCTTTTGAAAGCAGGGTTACACCTTAATTTTCTTTTCTTTCTTTCTTTCTTTTTTTTGGGGGGGCAGAAATGGGGATTGAACTCAGGACCTTGTGCTTGCCAGGCAAGCGCTATATTCTACTGAGCTATCTCCCCGGATCCTTAATTTTCTTTATATCCTGATATATGTTATATTGCATATAATACACATCTAGAGTATTATGTATGTTTACTGAAAGTTGTTGAATGTATTATTTATTATATGAGTATTAATTGAAAATTCGGTTGCCTTCTAGGTTTTGAGGATACCAGGCCTCTGGTGTAGAGTTTAGTAAAACAGATAAGTTAAGGAAAGCAAGTATGTCAAGTTACCCAATGATATGGGAAATATTTCACATATTGTTCAACTGAATGCTATGTGTCAGAGGTTGAGGAAGACAGACTAGTATACGTGGTGAGTTGGGAAAACTTCCACCTGGAAGGTATGATAAGAAAGAGTATTTGGGGACAATAAAAATTTACCAGGAATAATTCTTAGTGGATCAGGTAATGTAATTTACAGTATTACCCACTGCATATTTGGAGCTTGGATAGAGATTTTACCTAGTAAGTCCTTATTCATTATTGGTTGAAAAACTGAACCCATGCAACATTTTGGTTCCACCTATTGCTTTCAGTGTGCAGATGCATATTGTTCCAGGGCAGGAACAGCTGGAGAGAAACTGAGAAATCATTGAAGATTTGGTATTTTTTAAGGAGTTTGTAGTTAACTAGTTTAAGTGAAGCTTTTAAGTAGGAAAATGACAGAACCAACTGAGGGAGAAAATCGAATTGACGCAGGAAGAGACCCAAAGCCAGGAATTGATGGGTGATCATTGCAATTATTTTGGTAAGTGATTTGCTGTGCTGAAGTGGCATCAAGGATGGAGAGGAAGAACTAGACTCCAGGCGTTTTAAAGCAGATCAAGATTCAGGAACAAAGTGGAGAAAAAGTTAAAATGAATTTAGTTTTTAAATTTTATTTTTATTTTTTAAAGTGAAAATCGTGTGAACAATGTATATTACTTCAGTTTATAAACTACAAAATATTACACAGCAGTCCGGTGTGGGTTTTTTTTTTCACTTGCTGTTCAGATAGGAAAGGGTCTATACTTTCAGAGATATGTTCATATCCAAGTAAGATATCACTCTTGAGATTAGATTTCTCATTATTTTCGAGAATTCTCAGGTAGTGGGGAAACACAATTGGCAAAGGAAAGGTTGAGTGAAATTAGGCGGCTCAGCTCCTCCCCACTATCTTTGGAGAAAGCCCAGAGACTCAGAGACCCGCCCACTTCCCCAGCCCGCCTCCTCACTAACCAATCAGCGCTCTATGTGTCATCATTGCGCGCGTCCTTTCTACGTAGTGTACTAGAAGGGGACCACGTGTACTGTGTTGACTGTCTGAGGGAACCCAATTTCCGGAGACCGTGAGTTCAGGTAGAAGTTCCTGCAAACAATTTCCCTGTTTGTGCGAATCCCGAACCATGAGCGCCCCGGGCGTGCTGTCCTTTATCCAGCAAGGCTGGGAGCAGGTGCTGGCCAAAGTGAAACGGGCTGTGGTCTACCTGGATGCCGCCAGCGCGGAGAGTCTGCACTGGTACTGTGGGTCCACACGTCTTATGGAGGCGGTGGGGAGTCCTGTGTGCCACTTGCGGGAGTTTGAGCCCAAGGCAGTTGGTGGCAAAGCCGAGCAGCCCAAGGCGGTGTTTGTGTTGAGCTGCCTGCTAAAAGGCCGGACTGTGGAGACACTACGAGACATCATCTGCCGCAGTCACTTCCAATACTGTGTGGTAGTCACTGCCTTGAGCCACGCTGTTCATCTCACGGCTAACCACGTGCCAGCTGCTGCAGCGGCCGAGCTGGAGGGACAACAACCGGTGTTCGAGCAGTTGGAGGAGAAGCTGTGTGAGTGGATGGGCAACATGAACTACACAGCAGAAGTGCTGCACATACCGTTGCTGCTCGCTCCTCTTGCTCCCTACCTTGTCTTAACTCCAGGCTTTGCGTCCCTTTTTCCACTACTACCCCAAGATGTACATCTCCTTAACAGTGCCCGACCGGACAAGAGGAGACTGGGAAGCTTGTGTGAGGTGGATTCCTCTGCCTTGACCCCAGAGCTGATGCTGCAGATGAGGTGCCTGGTGTCAGGCCTCAGTTCTTTGTGTGAGCATTTGGGGGTTCGGGAGGAGTGTTTTGCTGTGGGTGCCCTCAGTCGGGTCATCGCTGCAGATCTGGCCAATTATGCCCCTGCCAAGAACAGGAGGAAGACTGCTATAGGCAGGGCATCTGTGGTCTTTGTGGATAGAACTCTGGATCTCACAGGTAAGTGGCATTGCCATAGAGTTCTTCATAATTACTCTCGAGGGTGCTGGGACTTTTTACTGATTCAGCATATACTCATTGGCCTCTTGCTGTATGTCAGGTTGGAGATAAAAGATGACTTAGATGGACATAGTTCTTATTACCACAGCATTTAAAGTGCAATATAGTTCAGAAGGGCAAAGTAAGTAATTGCAGCATAATTTGTTAATTGCTATAATAGGTGGGTATGGCCTCTATGTTCAATGACTTGTTAAAACAACTGTTTCTGAAAAAAAGAAAAAGAAAAAACAAAAAATTATATCTAGCTCAGAAGACTTGGAAAATGGAATTGTGTTTACATAGAGATCTGTGCAGTTGTAAACTTTCTTTCTTTCTTTTTTGTTTTTTGCGGAACCAGGGATTGAACTCAGGCCCTTGCCAGGCAAGCACTTATTCTACTGAGCTATCTCCCTGGCCCCTAGTTGGAAACTTTTTTAAAAATTTGCAGATGTCAGTATTGACAACAACCTTTCTTAAGTGGGCTTGAACCAGTTTTAGCCTCCCAGAGTGCTGAGATTATAGACAAGTGCCACCATGCCCAGCTAGCCATAGGTTTTCTTTCTTTGGAAGACGAAACATAAAAACTTAGAATGGGTTTGGGGCAAATTGTTCCATGAGAAGAGTTTCTTTAAATGGTTGAACAAAGCTTAAAAAGCTAGTAAACAGTAAAAAGAAATGTTTCTGGTATAAGACTAGTGATACAAAAAAAAAAAAAAAAAAAAAAAAAAAAAAGTGAATAGCTGGATAACATACCTGTTTTGCAATAGCATGGCTTTTAAGTACATATTGTTTACTGTCCAGGGTCTTTGAAGAGTTACAACACCACACTTCAACAACAACATGCAGACAGACAATTCTTGGAAGAAAACTGTTTAAAAAAGGCATGACCTATGTTCCCTCATTTGACCAACTCCATCTAAGTCTAGAAGTGCTTATATTCAAAGTAAGCCACTTGCAATATGTTACTTAATTTTCAAAAATAAGGTTTCAGGACAGTGATGGTGAGATAAGGGAAGAAAACATGAAGGAATGAAATTCTAATTGCTATACACGTGTATTTATTTGATAGTAGGGGAATACCATTTACAGAGAAGTTACAGAGAAAATGCAAATAAACAATTTTGTACAAGAAATCTAATACGTTCTCTACAGTGTCTTCACTTTGCTGTCATCATTTATTCAAACTCTTCATAATTTTTATGACTGTCACCATTGATAACCTGCTTTCCTGATCGTTTTGTCAGCTTCTTCATCAGTTAACTTCTCTCCAAGGTTTGCCATCATATGGTGAAACTCTGCTGCACTAATAAAACCTTTGCCATCCTTGTCAAACAGACTGCTTCTCAAATTTCTTCTTCATTGCTGATCTCTTTCATTTTCTTGCTATCATTGTCAGAAATTCAAGGAAGCAATTGTACCGTGACCACCAGCATCTGCTTCATTAATAGATCTGTAACTCTGGTTCTGTGGAATTCTGCTCAAGAGACCTTAAAGTAACGAGTTCTTTGGTAGTTATAGTTCCATCACTATCCTTGTCAAATAGTGAAAAAGCTTCTTCTTCTTCTTTTTCTTTCTTTGCGGAACCCGGGATTGAACTCAGATCCTTGTGTTTGCCAGTCAAGCACTTATCCTGCTGAGCCATCTCCCCGGTCCCGAAAAAGCTTCTTATAATTGTGCAGTCTTCAATCAGTTGGTTGGCCATGTGACAAGCTGTTATTAATATGAATATGCATGTATCTCTGTAATATGATGTCTTGAAGTCCTTTGAAAAGATATGTCGAAGAAGAGTAACTGGGTTAAATGGAATTTCTATTTTCAGTATTTTGAAAACTCTCCAAACTGATTTGTACAATAGTGTGGCAGTTTACACTCTCACTGACAACGAAGAAGTGTTTCTTTTTTCCTCAGCCTCTCCAGCATTTGTTATTTGATTTCTTGAAGGTAATCATTCTTTCTGGAGTGAGGTGGAATCTCAGTGTTGTTTTAATTTGCATGTTTGACCAGTAATGTCAAACATTTTCTTATATTTATTCACCATTTGTATTTCTTCATCTGAGAAGTATCTATTTCAGATACTTATTTTTTGTTGGGATCTTTAAATTAGGAGATCTAATTTTTTGAGTTATTTATGTAGTCTAGATATTAGTCTTTTGTCTGAGGAACTGTTGGCAACATTTTTTCCCCCATTCTGTAGGCTGTCTCTCCACTCTGCTGGTGGTTTCTGTTACTTTGCAGAAGCTTTTTAATTCAGTATGATTCCATTGACTCATTGTTGGTATTATTTCTTATACAACTGGGGTTCTGTTCAGAAAGTCTTTGTCTATATCTATGTTTTTAAGGGTTTTGCCTATATTGTCTTCCAGCAGATTAAGTCTTCTGTTTGAATATTTTGACATTTGATCCTTTTAATTTTAGTTTAGTGCACAGTGAGAGATACAGACTTAGGTTAAATCTTCTGCATGTGGACAGCCAATTTTGCCAACCATCATTTACTAATACGCTGTCTATCCTCCAGCAAAAATATTTGGCCCCTGTGTCAATGTAAGGTAGCTGAGTGTGCATAGAGTTGTTTGTGCATCGTCTATCCTGTTCCCTTGATATACAAATCCATGGAGGGTATTGTTTTTTTTTTTTTTTTTTTGACAATACTGTACTGTTTTGTATTACTGTAGCTTTTTAGTATAACTTGAAGTCTGGGATTGTGATCCCTTCTGCCTTGCCCTTGTTGCCCAGAACTGCTTTAGCTATTCTAGATCTCTTTTGCTTCCATATGCATTTTTTTTTTAATTTATTTATGTGTGTGTGTGTGTGTGTGTGTGTGTGGCCAGCTCAGCCCACCATGGGGCGGGGCTGGCTGGCATGTGGTGCTGGGGGATTGAACTGTGGTCCCTGTGCTTTGCTAAGCTTGTTCTAAGTAGGTGCTTTAGACCACTGAGCCATCTCACCAGGCCCTTCCATATGCATTTTAGGATTGTTTACTCTAATTTTGCAGGAATGATACTGATATTTTGGTAGGGATTACATTAAATATGTGTAACAGTTTTGGAAGTATGACCATCTTGACTATATTGGTTCTGCCTATCCTTGAACAAAGGATGTATTTCCATTTTCTGATATCCTCTTTGATTTTTTTGTTTTCAGGGTGCAGTAGTTTCCACTCCCTTCTTTAGGTTAATTCCTATGTATTTAATTTTTTTTGGTGCTCTTGTGATTGGTATTTTTTTCCTAACTTGTTTATCAGTGGGTTTATATACAGAAGTTATATTGATTTTTGTATGTTGATTTATTTTTATTTAATTACTGAATTTGGTTATGAACCACTTAATAGTTTATCCTGAGCATCACTGGAGCAGCACATTGTTTAGTGTACTTACTATCCCAAGTGTTGCTTGGGCAGGTGTCATTTCAGTAATTTGATTCTTATATTGAATAAATTTGATAAAATTGACATTTTTATATTTTGTGTTATCTTTTTTCATTCCTGTATTTAGGACAGGATCCACAGGGTCTCACTACATAGATCGGACTCCTAGTGATTCTCCTGTTTTCAGCCTCTCAAGTGCTGGGATTACAGGTATGCGCCACGAGGCCCAGTCTCGATTGCTGTCTGAGCGCGCCCCTTGGGTGGGGCAGGCAAGGCACACCACGCTGGTCCCTGCTGGCCCCTGTGCTGTACCTAAGCA